CTGGTCCGATTGATATTATTCTGGGCGCCAAAGAATACGCTCAGATTTCACTTGAAGGCGTCAGGAAAACGAATGATGGCATACTGGGACACCGAACTCGGATGGATATTTTCTGGAAACACTGGAATTAACAAAGATACAAAACTCCAGGTGCTAACAGTGACAACCGGCATTCAAGAAGATCAACAGCTAACCAAATTCTGGGAAATAGAGGAAATTTCCCAACCAAGACAAATGACTGAAGATCAGGAGATCTGTGAGGAACAATATGCTCTAAACACAACCAGAGATAAAGATGATAATTACACTGTGAGAATACCATTCAATGGCAAATAACAAACTCTGGGAATATCAAAACAGAGAGCTGCAGCAAGACTTATACAATTAGAGAAAAAGCTCTCAAGAGACGAGAGACTAGATTTCACCTACAAACAATTTATGCAAGATTACCTAGATCTGGGACACATGAAAATCTGCGATGAAAAAGATACAGAATTTTCAAAATACTACATTCCTCATCACCATGTAAGTATTAAAAGAATCAAGTACAACGACCAAGCTACGAGTAGTCTTTGATGCATCCAGCAAGGCTTCTTCTGGGTCCAGTCTGAACGAAACAATGTACATTGGTCCCAAATTACAGCAAAGGCTTTCGGATATTCTTTTACGTTAGAGATCACAGAATAGTTATCACAGCTGATATTGAGAAAATCTATAGACAAATCAAAATCCATCCTGACGATCAGAAATTTCAAAGAATTCTGTGGCGGTTCGATAAAAAATATCCAATACAAGAATACTGTCTCACAACAGTAACATATGGTACAACCCCAGTTCCATATTTGGCGATCAAAACACTGCTGCAACTAGCCAGTGATGAGGCCCGAATTTTCCAAAGGTAGCTCAGGCAACCCTACACGATTTTTATGTAGACGACCTTCTTTCCGTTGCAGATACTATTGAAGAAGCATTGGAACTCCAAGCTGAACTAATCAATCTCATAGGTAGCAAGTAAAATGGTTGGACATTGTAATGGACGTTCAATGTATCACGAATAGGGGTAGAATAGGTAAGCTTGTGGTGCAGTGGTGTGCTCGTGGAGTCATTTTTTAGGATTGGTGCAATGGTAACTTTTAATCAAAAAGGCGTGATCTACATAATATACAAAACTCAGCCAATTCTGACATAAATACAATTTCCGTATACTTTGAGCAGGGTCCTTTCACACATTTTTGAGACGCGATAACTTTTTAATAAATTAACGGAGAAATATGCCGTTTCCACTATTTTTGACAGCGATTCCTTGTAAATCACCTGTAAATTACACACAAAAATATAGAATTTGAGTGTTTTTTTTTTTACACAGGGTTATATAGGAAGAGCGGTAAAAATACAAAATTTTTGTTGCCACCCCATTTCTACTTTTATTTTTATTTATTTTTTCTAGGCATATCATATTATGTTCATCCCTCGAAACGTTTTTCGCTTTTTTCTTTTATCTTGTTTTGTTTATAGAATGCAAATTGATTGTTAAAATGACACCCAGAGCTTCAAACCCATCGTGAGCAAGTTTTGGCAGTAACATTTAGGATCCGCTTGTTTAAAATTTACTTGCTATGATCACAATTAAAGCTAACTGACGTAAAAAAGCTTTATAAAAAACACACAGGGTGTGGGAGGATACTTCAAACTTGAAATTACAAGTTTTGCATAATTTTGCCATTTACTACAGAGAAGAAAGTCTCAAGGACGGAAAATAAATTTTGACTTACTTTGAAGGCTGTGTGTCATGTCTGCAATGTAATTCCAAAAAGCAATATCGAGGTTTTTTTGTCATCCATTTTTTCAGAAAGTTTAGGGTAAAAAAAAATAATGTAAATATTTCATAACGTACAATGTGGCTAGTATGTCTTAGTAGATAGAGAAATGAACGGTGGTATAAGGTATATTTTTAAGCATTTCAATTCCAGACAACGCCATTCTAGCAGGGCCAATTAAGTTGAAACCGAGGTTGAAACGCTTCAAAAACTATGATTCGCTGCCAGGCCTCGGCCGTCTTTGTTAACATAGTAGGTGCGGCTTTTTGATTTCTCTTTCAATAGCGAAGAGCTGAGTGATTTTCACCTTTATATTAAAATAGGAATTTAAAATAGATGCAACTTAAAAACTGGTCGCATGTAATTTTATTGTTTTGCTTATTTAGGATAATTATTGGAGTGTTTAAAAATTTTGTAATTGTTATTGAGTGAGTTTCAATGTGTTTTTAATGTATTCTATACCAATGCTCTCCCTCGTTATGCATTTTTTCTGTGTAGGTATATTTGACAAGTAAATGTTACTTTATTTTATTTTATTTAGACGTAGATCCCCCTTTTTGTATCACTTACGGTGTTGGTCCTGATGATGGCCTAGTCTGGTCGATAGCGCTTGTCGTGAATAAATATTTTAAATACCTTATACCACCTTTCATTTCTCTATAAATATTGTCAACTCATAAACGTACTGAAAAGAGAGGATATGGGGGGAAGGAATACCACCACGAATATTAAATTTGTTTTATTACTAAACCTTAACTACACCTTATAGTTCAAGGAGATTTACCAGAATCCTAACACCGCAGATGTTCGTCCCTGGTGGACCATGTTTTCCATTGTCAACTCGAAATGTAAGAATGTTTAATGTTTAATGTAACCCAAGATGCACTAAAAGAACGGGCCCCCTAAGGGCATAGTTCTCGTAGGTCTAAACTTGGGGACGCTGTGACACGGCTGCTATAGACGAGACCTTCATCCACAAAGTTTCAGTCTCGACTATACCTAGTCGTACCCAGCTAAGAAGGCAGGTCTTTAGGCTCGTACCTTATCAGGCATAAAGCAGTCCAGACCAACCTTGCTTTGCATTGCCGCAGTGCGTGAATTTATATTGAAATTATTGCTGGCATAAGCAAAATCGGTCTGTTTTTAATAGTCCGGGGTGACCTCCTTTGGAAATTTACTTAATTTATGTAATGCGTGGGCTTGTGTACGTTTATGAGTTGACATTTGCCCCTCCCATGAAAGCATTGGTCCCCAATGCCAACGGAAGAACATCATACGGGTTTACAATTCAAAAACTTAAAATTAGAGCTTCTATTTCGTTCGGATCGTTGTCTTCGTCTGGGTGGTCTGTTATGGCTGTACTATCTTCTTATGTTCCATGTACTTCATGTAGGGTATTGTTCTGGAAAATGTGCTAGACTTCACGTGTGTGCTTGGTATGGCTTTGTGCCTACTTCTGCGTGGATAGTGCTTCGTCGACTGTCGTGGTGCTTTTGTCGGCTGTTCCACTTGCGGATTGATTGCCTTGGTCGTGGACACTTGTAGTGGTTTTGTTGGCTGTAGCAGTTGTTTGCTGGCAGACGTGATGGTTTGCGGACTGTTCACCTTGGTTGTGGACAGTTGTAGAGGTTTTGTCGGCTGTAGCACTTGTTTGCTGGCAGACGTGGTGGCTTACGGACTGTTCACCTTGGTTGTGGACAGTTGTAGTGGTTTTGTCGGCTGTAGCACTTGTTTGCTGGCAGACGTGGTGGTTTGCGGACTGTTCACCTTGGTTGTGGACAGTTGTAGTGGTTTTGTCGGCCGTAGCACTTGTTTGCTGGCAGACGTGGTGGCTTGCGGACTGTTATCTGATGTTTGTGGTCCCTTGATCCTTGTTCCGCCCCTGGTTGATTTTTTCTGTTGTTGCCACTGCCTAACGATTTGCTGTAAAATATAAGCCTTGTAAGCGTTTTTTGCGACAATTATTGATTTATGCGTAAGTAGGTCGTCAATTTTTTGTTGTTTGCTTTGAACATGAATGGTGAGTCTTAGTTTCGTTCGTCTTTGTATTATTATTATTATTATTATTTTTTTCTTTATTTTTTCTTCTCCCATTCGTCTAGACAAGTTTATGAGAAAGAGGAGTTTGCGGCTACTGCATCGCAGGGTTCCCGAATCCAAGTTAGGTCTTACTATATTTTTCCCCTTTATGTTTGATATTCCTCCTGTGTATCTTTCCGGGACTTAGGTTCGAATTTGCCTGGATTAGGGTTTCCTCCGTGGACGTGTGGCCTCCTCCTTGTCCTCCTGGACATCATGTTCTAGACATACAGACCCTTGCCCGACATATTGTGTTTGTCACGTATGTTATAAGATTAAGAAGATCCTTAATATACATATATTTTTGATTATTTGTGATTTATTTTACTTTTAGTAACTCCTTAATAATAATGGTTTTCGTTTATTTTCCTACACTTTGAACTAAAATAATAATAAAATATGGTTTATGCACTCTCGTCTGAATCCATTCCCTTTTTGTTTTGAAGTACGAAAACCATATTTTGTACAATTTAATATTAGCATCTTAGTTTCTATCCACAGGCCCGTGGTAATTTATTATTAATATTTAAGATTTTTATACCTATATTGTTCTATTATTTCCCCAAATTCCCCTAACTTATTATAAACTAACCAGAATTATACTTTTATAATACAGATTATTATCTTCGTGTTTGCGATTCAGGCTTCAGATTTCACGTTCGTCAACGGTTCCTCAGCCGTCGCCATATCATGATTTTTTATGCTAAGCTAATTTGAAGAATTATTATGTTCTATGCTGCTAGACTAATTTGCTTTAAATTAATTCTTGTAACCTATGTGCTAAATACTACTGGTATAAGTATCTAAGGGGGTGAGTCCGGACTCTATTTAGGGTTTCCTCCGTGGACGTGTGGCCTCCTCCTTGCCCTTCTATCCTCTCTTTTCAGATAAACCCTTAGTGGACGCAGCCAAGCGAAGTAAAAGTGGTGGCACCGCTGACCACAACCAACCTAAGCGTGACAATATTTTACGTGTATACACGAGTTCAACCTGTGTATATTCATCAATTCATTCTTGTTTTCCTGATTCTAAATTAAACATAAGTTGTGTAATCACTTAAAGAATCAGAAGAAAGATCCTAAATTCTAAAAATATGTTTTTCAGCAATTGCAATGCCGCAAGCATCGACAAGTAGACGCACCTTTCCGTGGTCAGAAGCCTCCGCTTGATCTTTTTGGCACAAAGGCTGACGCCAAGTTAGCCAGACAAAAGGAAAGTAACCGGATCTACGAAGCTAAAAAATGAGCCCAGCACATAAAATCTCAATTTCGGAGTCCACCTTCGTTCAGTCACAAAGCACCCGTAGTTATCAACACACCGAAGGGTGCTTCCGGCTACAGAGTGAATAAATCCCTAATAAGCTCCCTCATGGGAAAGCGACTCCCCCTAATGAATGTCAGTTTGGATGGCCGTTCACAAACAATTGGTGCCGCCCCGCAGGTCCTACCGGGTATCATACAGCCTGATCCAATAGCACCTGCCCCTGCTAAAGACGTTCAGGAAACCGAGGTGGATGCGCCGTCGTTGACACGAAGGTGCCATGGCCCCATCTTGTCGACAGATGGCGCCATGGGACCTGCTCCTGTGGGGCTCTGCCCACTAAAAAGGGGGCCCGCGGGGCTCCGCCCCCCAAAAAGGGGACCCGCAGGGCTGCGCCCCCCCAAAAAGGGGCCCCCGGATTTTATCATGGGTACCAGAAAAAGGTGAGGGGGGAAATTTTTTCTCGCCATCTTGTCAACCGTCACCTGTCAAACATCATCTGTCAAACGTCACCTGTCGAACGTCATCTGTCAAACGTCATGACGTCATAGCGGGAGGTTTGAGTCGTTTCGGGTTCTATGATGACGTCATACCGGGTGAGTGCGGTGAATTCTTGCAATTGATCGACAGGAAGGGTTCAAAATTACAGGTTCCTGTAATATGGAGTGTGCGTGGAAGGGATTGTTTTGATTCGTTTCCAAATCGCTACGTATAGTTAATTATGGTTCGGGTAATTACAGGTTCCTGTAATATGGAGTTTGCGTGGAAGGGATTGTTTTGAGTCGTTTCGAAATCGCTAGGTATAGTTAATTATGGTTCGGGTAATTACAGGTTCCTGTAATATGGAGTGTGCGTGGAAGGGATTGTTTTGAGTCGTTTCGAAATAGCTACGTATATTTAATTATGGTTCGGGTTCTGTGATGACGTCATAGCGACCTGGGTCACGTCTGTGGCGCCATCTAGAGTACATAGTGCAAAGTTCGATTCATGGTTCGGGTTCTGTGATGACGTCATAGCGACCTGGGTCACGTCCGTGGCGCCATTTAGAGTACATAGTGCAAAGTTCGATTCAGGGTTCGGGTTCTGTGATGACGTCATAGCGACCTGGGTCACGTGGGTTACGTCAGTGCGGGTCCGTGGCGCCATCTAGAGTACATAGTGCAAAGTTCGATTCAGGGTTCGGGTTCTGTGGTGACGTCATAGCGACCTGGGTCACGTCAGTGTGTGTCGGTAGCGTCATCTAGCGTACATAGTGTGTATGCATCGTGAGTCATCACGTCGCTGACGTTTGATGGGAAAGGGGCCTCGTTTTTTTATTAAAAACATACATTTTTTAAGACAACGATTTCAAAACGCGATATATGGTTTGCTTGTCCTGCATCCTTCTGCCCTCTGTATATTATCGAATATTTTCCATCAATAAACTGCTTAATATGATCTTCTAATCATTTTGGTGGTACGTCTTGGGAGAAACACTGTGTTATCGTCAAATTCAACGAGTAGGCTATTGGGTACTTTCTACCAGGCTTCAAGACTTGTAATTTTCTCAGTGTTTTTAATCCTTTGCTTTGAAAGATAGGTCTTGTTATTGATTGATTTCAAATCCATACCTAAAATATTCCACAATTGTATCGATTACTTAAGTATATAAGATATTTACTTACTTGGTTAAAATAATAATTACTGTGCAATAGTTTTATAATGCTCACTGTTGACTAGAAAGGATACAACACTGTCGTACACTTCTTTTGATTCGAACTTCGCTTGACATCTGTTGATCTACCTCAATTTGTATAGTTTATTGGTTCCAGTAAAGATTTGCAATTATTTTGAGGTCTCTATCGTAGAAAATATTGAGTACTCTCACCTTTTACCAGGTCTTATAATTTTCTCAGTGTTTTTGATCCTTTGTTATAAAAAGACAGGTCTTGTTGATTGATTGATTTCAAATCCATATCTAGAATATTCCATAATTGTATCGATATTAGTATATAAGATATTCACTTACTTGGTTAAAATAATAATTGTTGTGCAATAATTTTATAGTTCACCGAGTTTCAAACAAGACTAAAAGAGCTTAGTTATTATAAAATCCGATTTAAACTTCGAAGTAAATACCACATACAAAAAACGTCGCCAAAATATTGGGTACTTTCACTTTCTACCAGGACTTTCACTTTCTATCAGGCTTCAGGTCTTGTAATTTTCTCAGTGTTTTTAATCCTTTGCTATGAAAAGACAGGTCTTGTTGTTGATTGATATTAGTATATAAGATATTTACTTACTTGGTTAAAATCAAATTAATTGTTGTGCAATAATATTATATTTTTCGCTGTTGACGAGTTTGAGCGAGACTGAAAGAAGCTTGTTATTATAAAATCCGATTTAAACTTCGAAGTATATATCACATAAAAAAAGCACCGCCAAATGTAAACGCTTAATCGACAGTTTTTTTATCTGAATTATATCAGGACCGTTCGCAGAAACCGCCCGAGAAAAACAACAACACATTTTAAAGATAATTTTTTAGTTTAAGGCGTCATTATTAAGTTAGATATTAATATGTCCATTTTTATTTTAAAAAAGACGACAAATTCAAACGATTTATCAAAATTTAAAAGAATAGATTTAAATTAGCATCGTTGACATTTTATGAGCCAATAACCTTATTTCAGTGGATACATTGCCCGTAAAAGATGAGGATTCAATTTTTATTCTTTGTACAAAACGCGCAGCATCCAGTACCAGTACTTTGAGCCTGGATTTTCAAAGTTTAGTTTTTTTGTGCGATAAGTGTCGGTTTCGAAAAACTGTGAGTACTATTTTTAAATATCTAAGTGATGTAGGATAAATCATGCCCTGAGACATATTTTGAATTAACACAAACCTCGATTTTTTAATTATTTTTATTTTCATTAACACATAAACATATTGTTTGTTTTTTAAAAATACAGACAACCCTGAGTACCTATTTCTTAATTTAATTCCAATAGTTTTTTTCGGAGCAACTTGAATTTACTTTTTCACTTACATTTACACAAAACTCAAATTTCTTTTTCTAAAATTTAGGTAGGTAAACAGCGAATTTTTAATTTTGTGCACAAAATCGTTCACCAGGAAGGAGATAATCTGAAACATCATGGGGATTGCTAAACATCTTCCAAGATCTGTAACCAATGTGGTGGGATTTTTAAAGAAGAGGGGGCTATCCAACAACACTAAAACACCCAGTTTCAAGAGAGCCTCCAAACGAAAGGCTGGAGATCCCGTCGCCCCCATGATGAAACAAGCTAGACTTTTGCTGGTAAGTTGACATTAATCGAATTTTTTAAATCTAATTTAATTATTTTCAGGACTTTCAATATCAGCCACATGCCGGTGGTGTGAGGATTGTGACTTGGAGACTCCGCTAAATCAATGGGTTGGTCATCTTCGGTGTCTCTAGCACCGAGCCAACACCTGTTGAAGCAGGAGGAAGGCGTTAGTACTGTCAAAACATCTTTCAAGAACCGAATTGCAACATAGCGGCTTTCATCAGAGCAGGACCCTATCAGCGTGAAGCACGTTTTGAAATTAGCTGTGGCATACCTACCCAGTATTAGGACGGACGGAGGACTGAATGATTTTATGACACACTTACCAGGATAGCAGAAAATGCGTATGCGAAAAAATAATTTAGAGCAAACAGTTAAATAGCGCAAGGATATGAGAAAACTAACTTCGCACATTCTTGAGCAACCGACCCACCGAATTCAGCAAACATGCGTACACGTACACGAGAAGAAGGGGTTTTAGAACTAGTTTTTCCTTCAACAAATCACGGTAACTATGGAATAACATAGAGGACTAAAATATGACACAACCACTTTCAAGTTGAAACTGGAAGTAGCCTATAAGGGGCCCAAATAGCCTCAGTAAAGTGCTAGAAAGATACCGGTTGCCACTACCACCCCATGCTCAGAAATAAATTTGGTCATTTGGGTTTTCAGGCATCCTGAACAAAAAGTTCACAGAATTCCAGGAAAAAGAAAGCGGTGTGTATCATTTCAATTGCAGTGTTATGTATTAAACAATGTCTCTTACAGGCTGGACGCTCCAACAACTTTAAGCTCTAAATATAAGTATTAATAGGATCATAACCCTCTAAAAGCCTATTCATATCTGCCAGTACCAGGATAACCTGTAACGTCATGGGAATTGCCGAACATCTGCCAAGATCTGCAATCAATGTGGTGGAATTTTTAAATCATTTCATCCACAAATAACATGGGTTGAGGAAAAAAGTATTCCAGTACTTCCAAGCTAGATATTCAGGAATGTGAGAAATTAGCAGTTTATACGAATTACTTTCAGAGGAGTACGTTCGCGGATTTCGTTCGCAGGCGGAAATTTGGGATCTGTTTCTATTTAAATACTCAATATCTATTGAAAAAAAAAAAAAAAATCAAGGGTGACGATAAAGACGTATTTCATTTTTATGATTATGAATATTGCTACAATTTAGATGGTAGTCGCACTCACAGTCCTATTAACCATATTGGCACTGATTGTTGAGAATGAAAATAAGCTTTAGTAAATGTTTTATTCTCCTGAGAATGATAGAGATGAAGCCACCATTGATCTCTGTATACCACCAACCCAAACCCACAGTCAAATAGCGCCAGCGCACACTTAACATAAATATCATACAACTTATATGGAGAGTGATTTGAGAAACGCGTCACGGGCAAATTTCGTTACTCGAGAGAGAAGAAAGATGTAACGTTAAGGAACAGAGAAAGACAGCTATTGATTGACACAAACCAAGGATTATAAGCATCGAGAGGAGTGCCCATTATTGACAAGCGCCGATATTGACACAAACCAACGATTATAAGCGTAAGGAGGATTGCCTATTTGTGACAAGCGGTATTGGAAAAATAATATCATTTCTGACGAATTTCGGGGTTTTCCGGATATCTCTGGACAGCACTCGGAATTTTTAA